GTGTTTTAGAAAAAAAACCTTTAACTAAACAATAACCTTTAGTGTGTTATTTCCCCTTCATTATTATCTCCTTTGGCCTTACTTTCAATAAACTTTTTCCTATTTCAAGTAATTTTCTTTTGCCAATAAAGGATAATATTTTTAGCTCAAGGTTGAAATGTGAGGTTCTTGGGGCTCTCTGAGCTTGGTTGTTTTCTTGCAGATGTTTCACTGCTCAGGTAACATCCTCAGTGCTAGTCCCTGCTAGTGCTAGTCCCTCAGTTATCCTTTGATTTCTAAGTGGTTTTTTTTGGCTGAACTGGCATTTTATTACTTCTTTAAGTAGTTCTAGAAGTAATCCCCTAGAAATAATTTGGGGAGGGTGTTCTGCCTATCTTGCCTATCTATTTTTCTCCTTCAATAAAAACCTGAAGATTTTAATTGTAAATACAGAGAACATGTGCCTGGCAAACTATACAACTTTGGGACTAGATTACAATAACTAAGGGGACCTGTAGTTCAGGAGTGTCTTTTTTGTGCAGGAAATCTTAAATTCTACCTCAGGTATCTCCAGAAAAATTCTGGTGTAATGCTGGATCGAGATAGTTTCTTGTGTATTTTTGTATCAGTTGTTGTTTAGTTTGGTGGGGAGAAAGTGCTTGAGAAACATTTAACAGAGAAGGGAATGTCAGATAAATTCTCAAGAAGACAGAATGGCATTTTTGCATTTATTTGATTATAAGTGACTGTAATTGTGGGGACTCAAAAGCCTTTCCTCCCTCTTGCTACTTTCTCTCCATTGCCTTCCCATGTTTCAGTTCACTTCTTGCTTCAGTTTCTATTCCTCCCATGAGGATTTTGCCACTTTGTGTCATAGCTAACAGGAAATTCTTCCCTTGAGAAATTACTGGAGACGTTCTTCTTATGGAGAAAATGTGCCGTCCATTTCACTATCCACAATAACAATAGCACTGAGACATATATCTCTTCATAAATTGGGTATTTATTTTTAAAAACCATAGCCCTCCGTCTACTCTCCTGGCAAAACAGGCCAGTCCATGTTGCCTGGGGTTGATAAGAGCTGTTATACCATCTGATCCACCTGGAAGGTACCTGAATGGAGAAGGCTGGGCCATTTAGACTAGTGTTTCTCAACTTCAACAACTGTTAAGTCATGTGGCTTCAAGTTTAAGGTAAAGCTCACATATCTTAAAGTGGTGGAGGTTAGGAAACACTGATTTAGATCGGTGGTTCTTAACCTTTTTGAAAGAATCGCCCCCTTGAGCCATTGAGGAAGTTATCATCACCCCCTCCTCCAACATAACCTCTCACTCACAACACAGGGAAATATTTCTTCAATTTATGCAAACACGTTTTTTGTTTTCTTTAAAATTGTCATCAGGACATATCGATGCAAATAATTTATTTCCAGTCTTTTTCCCCTATCTCAACTGTGTGAAAAATTCTGATGCCACCCATCACTTTACTTCCAAACTTTGTGATACATGTATTTCATTATTATCTTATTTATTCAAGACACTTAAATGGAATGACCACTGAAAACAAAATTCAATTGCAGGAAAATGAAATGCCCCCCCCCCAAAACCAGTAACATTTAATGATTTAATTAGTGAATTTTAAGACACAAAAAGAAATATAAAAAGGGCATAAGAACAAACCACAGTGCAGGAACTAAGAATTTCAAGACGAAAACTCTGAAACTAAATTAAGATTCGAGGAAAATATATATTCATGCACACTATAAAATGGGTTTAAAAGATACAAAGAAATTTTTTACAGAAGGAAAGCAACAAAAATCAGAGCGACAAATTTAATGGATAGAGTGATCGAGGCTGCTGCGCAATGCGCATGAAGATAAGCGATGCGTATTCACATACGTACGTAGTTCTGTACTGGAGCTAGCTGGAGGAACATTTTAAAACACAGTTCAATCCACTAATAGCCAGCGATCTGATGTTTTCGTACGACAGATATACAGCGGTTCACTGTACAAAAAAAGTCTCAAAAGTGTCCTCAAAACTTCTCTCTATTGCCCCCATATAGCCCCCCTTCCATTTATTCGCCCCCACATCGCCCCTTTTTGTTCCATTGCCCCCCTGAAAAATGAAATTGCCCCCTGGGGGGCAATATTACCCAGGTTAAAAACCACTGATTTAGATTACTGGTCGGCTTTACCCTGGAAGTCTTATAATAAATAATCAGAATTGGAAGGGACTTTGTAGGTCATCTAGTCCAGGGGTCGCCAACCTTTTGGACCTCAAGGACCACCAAACTCATAATTTTAGATCCCAGGGACCACTAACCGGTTCTGTGGGTGTAGCCTACTTTGTGGGTGTGGCTTGGTGGTCATGTGACTGGCTGGGCATGGCTTGCATGTAAATATTATAAATATTTATATAAATATTGAAATTTTATAAAAAAAAGAACAACTTTTACCCAAAACCAGGCAAAGCAGGCAGATTGAGTTGTTCACAGAATCACAGATTCATTCAGAGATCTATCTATCTGCCATCGGCTAGGTCAGTCTCTCAAATTTGCTTGCTGTGAGTCTGGACTGAATTTGCTTGCAAGCAAATTTTAGTCCTAAGGGAGGTTCGGCTGTGCTGAGCTGAAAATCTAAAGACTAGCTAGAAAGCAAGAAATCCAACCATTTCCTGCTTCCTAGATAATCTAAATCTCCTGGCACAGCAGAAGATCTGATGGTTGGAAAAAAGGGAAAATAGCAATTTAGCAGGCAAGTTTACTGGTAAGGAGTGAATGGGTGGGGAGGGTTCCTGCGGGCCATGTGGGCGGCGCAGCCTTGTGTTTCTGCGCAGCCTGGATTAATTGCTTTGGGGGGTTGCTCTGGGAGTGAGATTTCTCTGCGGCTCACCAAAATTTTCTCACGGCCCACTAGTAGGCCATGGCCCACCGGTTGGCGACCACTGATCTAGTCCAACCCCTCACCCAAGCGGGAGACCCTATACCATTTCTGACAAATAGCAGTTCAATCTCTTCTTGAAAGTCTCAAGTGATGGTGCTCCCACAAACTTCTGAGGGCAACTTCTGTTCCATTGTTTGATTGTTCTCACTGTCAGAAAGTTTCTCCTTGTTTTCAGGTTAAATTTCTCCTTGTTCAGTTTCCATCCATTATTCCTTGTCTGGCCTACAGTCTTCTGAAGTGCTTCTAAACTTCTCCTGTAGTTAATTCCTCCCCCTAATTCTGTTGAACTGAAGAAGCTTCTTGGATGAGAAGCGAAACGTCTTCAAGCAAAAACCAAAGGCAATCCAGTTGCCCTTCGAAAAAGGACCGTTGGGACCACCATCTCCGTAGACGTCTCCTGTTCGGTGCTTAGGGGATAGGATACGGCTTCCCGAGGTGAGGAGGAGCCACGTCCGGAGCTGAGGGTCTCAAGGGGGCTCTTTTGTCCACGAATCCGAGAAGGCAGAGAAAGGCGCGGCAAGGATCGACGGTCTTCCCGCCTCCGGGCTCCTTCGGGCGTCCAGCGCGATGCAAAGGTGCCGCCTCTAGGCAGACGCAGAAGCCGCCAGGGCGGCCAGCCTCGAACAATCCCGACCGGGCTGCCTTGCTTTTTAGGGAGAGACAATCCAGACGGCGGCTGCCCTTCGGTTGGGCGGAGGGCTTCGGTTCCACGACTCGGGAGACGGGAACGCCTGAGCGGACCCCCACCTGCCTGCCTTCCTCAGCGGGCCAGCCAGGCGATGCTACCTGCCCGGGTAAGCGGCACCTGTTGCCAGAGGCTCTATTAGCAAATCGCTGGAAGGCAGCGCGCAGAGAGCGAGGCGAGAGAAGGACTGACGGAGGCGGCGGCGAAGCTCTTCCGAAGAACGGGCTCGGCCTTTGAAAGCGAAGGAGCGGGGTGCGTGGGGGGCGCCGCGCAGGAACTGCTGGCGGCCGGAGTTTGCAGTTGAGCTGCGAGGAGGAGCCGGACGCTCTTGGCGCTGCAGGAAGGGCCTCGGTGCCCGCCCAGCAGCTCCCGTCGGGGCTGGCCGAGGAGCTCGGCGAAGATCGTTGCGGAGACCAGCAATGCCGAGAAAGGCAGAAATGTGCTCGGGGCCCGCGAGTTCGCCGTGCGCTCAGCTGATGTCGGACTTCATCCCTGTTGCGAGGGTTACTTTGCGCTGCTGGAAGAAGATGCCGGGCACCAATGGTCCCAGTTTGAAGTGCGTTTTTCAAAGCCACCTTCTGTTTTGGGGTGGGTGGGGTGGGGTGGAGTGGGGGGCTGATGGACAGCATTAAACAGGCTTCGGTCCGGGTGGGAGCCTTCCCCTTGGAAGAGCGTCCTCCACGTGCGGAGGAAAGGGTTACGAAGATGCACCCCCTTTTAGGAAGCCCTTCTGCATTTACTACAGGGAGGTAGTTCTGAAGTGGGTTAGAAGCGGAGGTGCAATTGGGTAATCCTGGACTCTGTGGCATGCAGGGTCTTCAGCCCTAAAGCTCTATCCTGAAAGGCTGCTGTCCGGGTTACTTGGTCCCTCTCCCCCACCACAGAAGGAAGGAAGGGCCTGGATATTCCATTGTATTGAGGAGCAAATAGCATCAAAATGCTTCAAGGATATTCATCATCAATTCACTATATGTTATCAGAGAGGAGGAGAGAAAAAAGGATGTTCTTGTGGCGGATCAAACACAGTGATTGAAATTGTTGACTTACTCTTCGAATATTGATGGTGCAAGCCACAGGTCAGATTCCTCCGTTGAGCTGTTGCTTCTCTGACTTTTGTCTCCTCCTCCACACACACACATCCCTTTTGACATATGGAGAAGACTTCTCCTTTCAGAGCCCTTCCTGTTTGGATTTTGCTCAGGTGCTTCATGTACCTACAGACTAAGTGACTGTACCTGCTGCTCTGAGCTCCAATGACTGAACTGTTTATTGGCATGCACTTCCCTAGCAACTGATCATTTCTGAGCCAAGCATCCTGGAAAACTGCTAGTCTGTAGAACCTCTTCCATGGCACCTTGAAAGCAGAGCTTCCTAGCTGGCTTCTTTCTGTTTTGCCCTGTGAAGGGAAGAGAGCCTGATCCATGTTGGGAAACAGTAGCAGTAACAGGGATGCCAATAGTACGGACTGCAGATTGGCCTTTGCTGGAGTGGTCTGCCAGCTCCTCTTCATGGTCCTCCTGATCATTGCCATCACTCTTGGAAACCTGGTGAGTCTCCTGGTTTTCTTCTGTGTAAGGCAATTCCGGACACCCCAAAGCTACCTAAAAGCCTCTTTGGCACTTGCTGATTTGGCGGTGGGGCTCATTGTAGTACCTTACTCAGTTTACCAGGAGACGAACATGTTGGCCTATGGCGGGGCAGGGCAAGAAGAGAGTCCAGCTGGCTGGTCGGTCTGTTGGGTCACCGGCCCTATCTTTGCAGGCTGCACCTTCGTCTCCATCAGCACCATATTTCTGCTTTCGGTGGAGAGGACCATCACTGTGCTGAAGCCCTTGCACAGGAAAACTGTGATTACCAAGCGCAGGATCACTTGGCTCATTCTTGGATCCTGGATCCTGAGTTTCTCCTTGGCAGTGATCCCTCTGCTCTCGGTTCCCAATATCACCTTTGAGTACAATCCCTGCAGCAAGATGTGCAACTATGGCTTTCCTCTGAACAAGTTGCCCGAGTCCAATTGGAACGTCATGCTCCTGTACCCAATATTTGATTTTGCCCTCTTAGGGGGCACTTTTGTTGTCAACACCATCACCTTTGCCACCCTCCGGCAGTACCGCAAAATGAGGAAGCAACTGAGGGAAGAGCCACAGGGAACCCACAGGCTCTCTTACTCGGATGTCACGGCTGCCAGGACCATTGGTATCCTGACCCTTGCATTCTCTGTGGCTTTCGTTCCCATTGCTGTATTTGTTGTGGGCACTGTGGTGGGATATGAATGGTGCCAATTCTCCTTCTATGCTTTCTGGATCCTTGCTTCCAACAGCTGTTGGAATGTGGCTATCTACAGTGTTTGGGACCCCAAATTCCGGCAAGGGATGCAGGAAATGTTCTGCAAGCAAAAGCTGAGAGCTGATTCCCAGCAGTATTCCAGCCACTCACTGGAGAGGCACCGTTCTGCCCCTGCTTGTGTGATTGTTCTCAAGGAGATGCTCCGTCCAGAGTCCAACTAGTGGCAGAATTGGTACCTGCTGTTTTTTTGCTTCAGAGCAGTCTGGGCATTTTAGCTGGAGATTCTGGATTTTTCAATAACCATTTTCCTCTTCAGCTGTTGCAGCTTAATGGAATGCCTCCCTCCCTCCCCCCTAAAGTATGTACTTTCTTAGTGCCAGATTTTTCTTCCCATTCATTGGATTGGAGCCTCTTGACTTTTGTATAGCAAATGTAGAACGAATTTATGGGGATGCCTTTCAGAATGTTGGAAGCACATTGCACTTTTAAAAACCGCTGCTAGATACATATCTTAATACAGAGCAGCTATTTATTAGTGACTCCTAGTCCATATAAAAATATCCCAGTTCAATGGTCAGATGCTGCCAGGGTGACAACTGGTTCACTAATCATTGCATGCACTTGAACAGCTTTCAAAATTATTTACCTTCAATGTTACTTCTGGGAAGTAACATAGCTGAGGCGTGGCAATCCACTCTGCCATGCAAATCAGCTGAGCAGATATAGGTGAGTCCAACGCGGGGGCGGTTGGGCGGGCCCACATGATCATCCGAGAAAACCACTTCAGAGCCAACTGATCATCAGAGCTAGGGGTTCGCCCAAACCAGTCCGAACTGGCAGAATCCCACACCTGTCCCAGTTTTGATTTACAGGAAGAAAATAAAGAAGAAGAGAAAGTGAGAAAGAAAAAGAAGAAACTTTACAATACATCACAAAATGAATGAATCTCTAGGCATGATGAGGAATGAAATAATATGTACTTTGTGTTTTATTTTGCAAAACTAATCCAGTGTAATATATTATATTGTCCAGTTGAAAAACAATGACCTTTTAATTATTGTTAATCTCAAATATGGTTATAATACTCATTATATATTCTACAGCATTTATTCTGAAATGTATTTGCACAAAAACTACCTTTTTAAAAATGGTAAAATGGAACTTTTTACGATTGCTGACATTTTATTGGCATTTGCATATTTATATATATTTTCTGAATGCCATACTTCTGGTTTTACACTCACAAATCACACATTTTGCAAGAAATATGATTAGTTTGCAGTAATATAGAAAAAAAAATGGTTCAGTTTTCCTAACTCAAGGTCAGAAGTTCATTCAAAAGGATTCCGAATGCAGCATGTTTGTAATCAGTGTTTGATTGTACAAGACTGCTGATAGTGAAAGAATGGAAGAATATAAAATCACAATAAGAAATAAGATGGGAAACATACCTTTCATTTGAAATTATTCTCGTGTTCTTATTACTACTTTTTCTGTTTTGATTGGCTTAAAATAACTTCAACATTTACTGTACGTCGTTGCATTGATACCAAACATTGTGCATGTGTTCTGTGAAAGTAAATATCCTTGGTCAAATATTGCCACTGAAATAATAATCTGTTAAAAGGCACACAAAGTTTATTTGTAACAGTTGTCAATACTAAAACCTTTTCACAGGAAACTTTTAAGTAAAAGCTTTGTACTGATTATGTGGGAAGTAAATGAGCAAACACAACCTGTTATGCTTTGAGGCTCAACGTTTCTTCAGAATTGGAAGCAGCATGGGTTTTGTTGAGTTATTCAACCATCCTTTCAATATATACACACACAGCATATATATATATGTGTGTGTGTGTGTGTTATGGAAAAATTATGTACACATAATTTTACACATATATACAGATCACATAAACTCACACAGAGGATTGCCAAATATTTCAAAACTCCTTAAATTTTCTAGTTTTTTAAAAATAACAGAAACAGAATACTAAATCTGACTTCTTCAGCCAAAGTGGAGGGGTCTTAATTTAGAGTGCATTCTTACCCAAGTTCTTGGATGCCATGATGTCCATTGATTCATGGAGTACAAAATCATGTTTGGAAAACAAATGGCTAATGCTCTTTGCTACAGGCAAATCATTATTGTGGTTTTCCTTTGCTGAGTTTCAGGCATGGCATTGAGCTTTATATTCCTAAAATAGACCACGTCTGAGGAGAGAGAAAATGATTTTATGAAGTCATTCATTCCATGCAATCAGAACTTCACACAAATGATTTTTATTGCAAATTTGGGGAATGGTTTCTTCTGAACTCAGATTAGTTTCTGAACAAAATGCAGAGAATGCACCAAAAACAGAGTGTGAGTGACTGTTCAAATTATAAGGAAGTCTTCTTGCAGCTTAACAACTAGCATAAATTTAATGGAATCAAAATCTTTTAAAGTGGACTCATGTCACAAGAGACTCATAATCTCAAGAAAGGAATTTATAGGCACCATGGGTCTGAGTGGGGAAACAAAGCCAGCCCAAAAGTTAGGGCAACAGCAATCAATACATTTGCATTGCACATTGCCAGTGCTGGAGAAATATCAGTTCAAATGGTTTTTTCACAAGCAGTGAAGGGCACAACAGCTGTCTCTTACTCTTACTTGGGCCCAGGAAATTAAAGAGAAATAAAATGTAGAAATTGGAGGCATTCATAGTGATTTCAAGAAGCTAGTGTCATTAAAAAAATAAGCTTCATGGTGCCCAAATATTTTTTACAACTGAGTAATACCCCATTCCCACTGGAAAATGAAATTCTTCCTTGTTTGAACAGGATTTGTTAACAAAAAGCATATCTCTGTTCTGAACATAATGTTCATTAACTACAGGATACTTGATTGATGCCTGTGTTAACTTTTCTTGAAATCGTCTAAAAATATGAACTTATACAATACTCCAAGGATATTTTTTTCCATTGTTCAGTTAGATTATGTTACAATTTTTTTCCCTAGCCTTTTGTAATTTAAATCCAGAATACACTAAAATATGAAGCTATATCTGAACTTTTGAGCATAATTGTTTCATGTATTTTTGCATCCTTTTCATAACACTTCAAAGTATTTTGTACCTAGGCATAGAAAACATCTGAACATGCTTGATCAAAAACTCCACTGATATAGTAAATATCAACTTATAAAATATTAGATTTATATCCCATTGTTTCTCTGGGAACTCAGTGGGTGTCATGGAAGTTTCTCTTCATTTTATTCCTGAGAAGTAGGATGAGGTAAATGCTAATGACTGGCTTATTCTCATCCGGTTAGCACTATTTCTGTGTAAATTTCAACCAAAATTTCCGTAATTACTATTCCCAAGCCTGTTATGCATTGAATTCCTTCAGTAACCTTTGCAATGTGTCCAGGTTACCCTTGAAAATCCTGTGATTAAATTAATCAGATACACAGTATTTCATTGCATGTGAAATGATAGCACAAGGGCATTTTATTTACACATGGTGTGGAACAACCTATCCATCCTAGTGACAATTGATTGCAGTTAAACTAAAATTTTGGAATGCCTATAGTTAGGGATTTCTGAGATTGAACATCCCAATACACTGAAGCCTACCAGGTTAGCAGAGACCAGGAAATAATCGGCACTTTCTATAGTATTTCTGCCTTCTGATTTTAAGACATTTTGATCTGAGAGTTGGATCAGTGAAGAACAAGCAATAGTAGATGACAACCTGTCAGGCTTGGATGATTCTGGAAGTGAAACCAAGTCAGACTTGATTAGTATTGAAAGGGTGACCATCTGGGAATACCAGGGCTATTGACTAGATTGGGGAAGGGAGGCCCTTTGAGTAATTTTTTCCCCACTCCTGGCAACTGACTGGACGAATCTCTGCTGTTTTCCTGACAAGGTTTTACCGAGATTTGCCAGTGTTGCCTTCCTAGGTCTGAGAAAAATTAACTGGTTTGAAGTAATCTAGCTAGCTTTTGTGCCTAAGATAGAACTAGAACTCAATAATCCCCTGGTTTTAACTTGATGCCTTAACCACTACACCAAATTGTCTCTCTGTTGACTAGACTGGGAAGTTGAAAACCATCATCCTGAAAAAAAGACAATAGCAAGCTATGCTGTATTGTTCTTAAAAACACTACTTGGAGGCCGTCACAATAAGATTAATCCAAGGAGAATTTTAATCATGGGGGGGGGGGGAGAAAAGAAAAGAAAAAAGGAAAGAAAGAAGAAAAGAAAGCTCTTTTATTAAAGGTGATGGGACATTTCTGTCCAACTACTCAGACTATATCTCTGGGCATGATTTCTTGTACAAGCTTAGAGTGACAAATTATGGTGGCATGGATAAAATCAAAGTTTTCCACTTAAGAAATTCACACAGAGCAAAAGTCATTCTCTTTGCAGCAGTGGTGGACCAGTTCAACTGAACCAGTAGTAAAAAAAAAAAGCCGACGATCAGCTGAGAGGAGGAACCAAATCCCAGCAGGATCGCCTTCCTACCTGCCTCTGAACTTTTCTTTATCCTTTCAGCTAATTGGCACTGCAGGTCTCAGCTGGTATGGGGAAAGCTGCGCTCTGGTGTTAGGCAAAGCATGACCACCAACCCACGCCCACCAAACCAGTGGTAAAACAATTTGAATCCCACCACTGCTTTTCAGGTTCAATCTAGTGGCAGTAGCAGCTGCATATGAACAATGGATACAAAAGTAGTAGCTACCGATATGTGTAGGTGGGCAGGCTCAGAATTTTGGAAACTAGTCTGAATTCCCTCAGTTGTAAATTTGGCTCCTGTTATGGGTAATAATAGAACAAGTCTGTAGTTATATCCAAACAAGGGAAATATGAAATTATTGGTATTTTTCAAAGGAGCCATACAAAATAATAACTGCAAAAGAACATGAAAACTGGGCTGAAGACCAGACCAAGCCTACTGCTGTACTGTCTTGAAAAATGAGGACTATTCCTAAGGTCACATAATTGCCCAAGAGGTCCCCACCAGTTATGCTATATATTTAAAATGCTGTCTGTAGCTGTTGAGTACTGTAAAAGGCAGTTAATGGCATTAGAAGCCCACAGGGAAAAATGCAACGAAAAAATAGAAAACTGCAAAGCTGTAGACTGAATTAAACATTTTGTGAAAAAATACAGAGCAGACAGTTGTTTTTCTTAAGAAACATGTTGAGTAAATTATCTATTCTAGACCCTGGTTATTTGAA